CGGTTTTCGCATTCTTCGACAGACATGTGGTCGCAGGGCATGAGCCGGTGGTGCATGCTTCCGACCGCATATCTGAACCGAAAAGCGTGCTTTCGTCGTCTTTGGAGGCGGCTCCGTCGTCGAAACCGATCGTTATAGGTGTCCGCCCTCCGCCATCAATTCGGACTACGGTTGCTGCAACACGAGTTCCGAAATCAGGGCAGATCGGGGAGAAAGGTCCGTGTCGCGGCCAAATCGTGCCGTCAGCCCCTGTGAAGTGTAGACGAACATCAACCAAGGAACCCGTTTCCTTGGTCCGCCCGCCGCGCTATGAGTTGGCCATTCCTGCTCGGTCGCATTATTTTGGAGATGACGACGAGGAGAACAACGAAGAAAAATGGGAGCGCGATGAAGAACGAGAAGAATGTGAGGAGGGTGGCGAAGAAGAGGAAGTAGAGAGTGAACACACAATCAGCGAGAGGGCTGGGCAGGACAAGTTGGAGGGTCGTCTAGGGGTTGAGTATGAGGACGAAGGGCAAGAAGAGGAAACGACCGACGAGGGAGGGCATGCAGATGTGCATCGGGGTTCCAAACGAACGCAGCTGCTCGCGCCGGGTCATGGGCATTGGGAAGCGGATCCAGGGCGCGGGGAAATGCACCGCGAAGTTGGGGTCGAGCCGGTGCATGCCGATGCAGTACGACTAGCTGAGAAGAAAAGGAAGATGAGGCGCGAGAGAAGAAGTGCTATGGACAGTAAGAAAACCAAGCAGGAGGGGGGAGCCAAGCAAGAGGAGGGCAAACGCAAGTTGAAAATGCTGGTAGTTGAGGAGGCCGTCCAACGTACGCGGGAGGCTGAGGAGGCCATGAAGAAAAAACGGCAGCCAAGGAAAAAAACAGCGAAGGGAGGTGTGATGGAAAAAACTTCCGTTTTTTCATCGGACCAGCCACAGTCGGATGAAGACGCTGTGGGCAAGACAGTCACCAGACCGCCCGGTTTGCAGATTCTGCCGCATGGGAATTCTTCTGGTCATCTGAGCAAAGGCTTCTTCCTTGAGTTCGACGAGAATGGTAACCAGAGGCCGGAAATGCAGTTCATTTCTGTCAAGTTGGACAGGATTCGGGATATCCCTGATGAGGAATTAAGATATAATCAACGCTTCCTCGATCAGGAGCTTATTGATGACCTTTACAAAACAATGGTTGAGTCGGGTGAGGCAGCTATCAGAGAGAGAACGCCCGGGGCAGCCGGGGTGAATGTATGTGCATTGTACGAGAAGCCTGTCCTTCTGTTGATTGGGCTACATGATACAATGCATACTGACACTTCCGGTATGAATGTGAGGGCGGGAAGAGTGACGCCCCGCGAATTCGATCTCCAATCCGTGCGCAAGTACTACTGGTACCCTCTCAGTGGTCAACACAATGTTGCGGCGGCGAGGAAATGTTCTCAAGAACGCCCTAACATCGCCCGTGAGCTCCGTTTGGATTGTTGGACTGCAAGGCCTATTTACTATCCGGATAGGAGCATGAAAAATTACTGCACCTTGAGCACTTTCCAAAATGCGAAGGACAAATGGAATACTCCTCCGCACCAGATTGCTATCATTAAGAACATACGGAAGTTGTGAAAAGCAGCCGGTCGCCCAGAAGCTATAGGCGGAACTGCTGCAGACGTCAAAAATAAGGATTACAGAGAGTTTGCGGCGATGGCTCTGCGCACGACCGGGAGTGATCATTTGGTTACTCTTTCACTTCAGGTTTGGAGCAGAGAGTGGTCCGACTTCCTCGGGCCTTACATGATATTGGCAAGGGCGACGGACGATGTGTTCGACAAGGTGCAACAAGTGTATTCTGCTTGGGAGAGTGGACAGTTGCCGGGGAGAGATGGTATGAAGCCTGCCACCAAACAAGGTGAATCGGGGAAAGCGCCGAGACCTGGCCTCGGATTCGAGTTGGAAAAAGGAGTCAGGGTTCCAATGCACTGGATTCAGGGTACTAGAGGACCTGGTTACCTCGTGGTTGTGCGCGATCCGGATGTCAAATCATGGAAGGCTATGTCTACGTTGGGGAGGCGTGAGAGGCTGCAGCTGTTGAGAGACATTCTCACGGGAAGTGTTGTACTGGCTCCAAGGCTAAGTAAAGCTGCTCAGACTGCCGGAAAACATTCGATGGAGACATACGATGAAATGGTGAAGCAGGAAAGAGCAATGTTGAGAATGTTTCACTACTTCGTCTTCATTTCTGACCCTCACAAGAAGCCATCAGAGTGGAAGGAACCATTCTTCGACAACCTTTCTGATTTGTTCGCTAGGTATTCTGATCAGGGATTGACATCGGAGAGGTGGATCGACCAGCGACGACATTTCAAAGAAACGAGTTGGGTGCGGTCATTTCCGACTACACTTGGAGGCAAGGATGAGAAAAGAGAGGAGGGCTTCAAGAAAACAAAATCAATTGCAAATAAATGCCCCGAAGAGTTCATTCAATTTGTCAACAAGTTGTTGCGTAGATCTGAAACTGGGGGTTCGCATAACATTCGTATGTCGGGACAAGCGAGATACATATATTTCCAGAAACAGGATGTGACATCTGTATTCGTGCCGTTCCAGTGGGAACCGAGCGATGTTTCAGACGAGATGGATTGCAAGGAGATGTTTAGAGCCGTCAGACACCTGACGTTCCACACAGCCGTCCTGGATTTGTGCCGCCCGACCCAGATGGGTGCGTGGATTGAACAAGTGTTTCATGAACTCAAGAAGTCCATGGACAAACTTGGCGGTGAGTATTGGACATTGTTGTGCTTCGTTCCACGCCCTTGCGAGTTCACATTCTTCAGGCGAGTCGCGATGTGGGACATTCAATTGGATCTTCTCAAATGGACTCGTCTACAACAAACAAAGGGGAAAGTGTACAAGATTGCAAACTTGCCTTTGGAGGACACAAACAGAATGGTGGTCATCATGTACTCCAACGACGGGGATTTTCATCGCAACACTATTCCCTTGTTTGAAGATATTCAAGCTGCAGGTCCATCATCTGCCGAGCGGGTGGCTGACATATCGGCACTTGTGCGGAGAGAGAGAAAGCCGAAGATGTTGACTGATGTCGTGGAGAAGAACTTTCTACCATCAAAGTGGAAAATGACAGTTATGGATCCACCGGAGAAAGTGGTCTATGATGGTATGGAAAGGGAGCCGAATGCGATGGTGGAGACATTGGAACATTTTTGTCCTGCGGATGAGACTGTCGTTTTCCTCGAGAAAGGTCATGCGGGATTGGTTTGGGAGCTGTTAAATAGTCACCGTCATTGCATTGTGCTGGAAGGGGAGGGTATGAAGTTCGAGTTCCTCATTCAGTTCATTGACAAGATGGTCAAAACTCGAGATTACCACGCCAACTTTACTAAGCCGCCTCCTCGACATGATGAAGGGCGTGATCTCGTCTACAAGGTTGGCCAAAACGTGGTCAATATTTGGGAGTTTCTCTTTGAAACAAAGCCGCAAGACAAAGGGGAACGTACTTATGTCCTCAGAAGAAGAAAAGTGGAGAAAGCTCTTGAGGGGTTATCATAAAGCACCATTGGAGAAGGAGGTTTCATTTCTCGACCGCTTGGAGACCATGTACTTCGACCAACAAATCGGGGCGTTTACAATCGCAGGTTATGCGACTTGTTTTGTGGATGGTGAGGACTTTGATGCCGACGACTCAGAAGAAGAGAGTGTTGATGGCACTTTGCAAGCGGCTTTGGCAGCTGAGAGGCAAAGAGTTTGTAGCCCGGGTTTGCAAAGAATGGGTGTTCCAGGCACATCGTCCAGTTCCGGAGGAGCTTCGAGCATGGCGGTTTCAACGGGTCAGTTAATGACTCAGCCGCCGACTTCTTCTATTGTTACGCCGACTCAGATGGCGGGCAATACGATGACGGTGGCATCCGAAGGCAGTCTGGATCCGAGTGTTCTAGCCATGCTCTCCCCAGAGTTGGTGGCAACTCTGGCACCATTTGCACACAGCCCAAGTACTATTATGGAATTGCTACACTCTCAAACTCCACAACAACCTCCACCTGATGAGCCTTTGGAGTACGAGATTGGAGACACAATCCCTGCAGACACTGAACTGCTTCCGGGGCCTATAGTGTGCGGAGACGATTATACGGTGACGGATGATGCCCCATGGGGTCATCACATTATATAGCACCCCCAACACTTCCAACCTGCATTGGCGAGAGGGAGGTGGGTTATGGCTATAAAAGAAGAAGGGGAGTGGCAGTTTTGCCTCCACAGACGTATGTCAGGATCGAACTTTCTAAAACATGTTAAAAATCAGATTGCCAAGCGACTCCAGTGTCTTAATCTGGAGGTTTCTCAATCAAGACTAGATGAAAGAACAGAAGAAATTTTCCAAGAGTTCAAAATATCGCAGTGGCTTGAGTATCTGGAAGAGTTCTATGATAGACAAACTAGCCCGGGTTATGGATATGATTGGCATATCAGAGAAGATCTCGGGGAGAGGAAAAAATCAAGCGGCGGTGGTGACCATGGCAAGGGATCCGGATTGAGCGGAGGTGCGCATGGCAAAGGATTGCGATCGGGGAGCGGTGCAAGTGACAAGGGTACGAAACCGAATGACGGTGCAAGCGGCAAGGACGCAAGTCGTGGGGAACGACAACAAACCGAAAAGTCTAAGGGGCGTCAAGCAACAGAAGGCAAGGGATCAGCACCAAGCGGCGGTGAAACAGAGCGCAAGGGATCAGGATCGAGTGGTGGTTCAAATGTCGAAGGTTCCCACGGTCGAGTCGAACACGACAGTGGCCTCGCATTGGAGCGTTCCCGGCTTGACCGAGCGAAGAGTCACACGGTCGAGTCGAACCCGACAGTGGGATCCGAAACGATCGTCGGTGCGACTGGCAAGGCTTCGGGACCTCGATCGGAAACGATGGCCGGTGCGACTGACAAGGCTTCGGGACCACGGGGGGGCAGTACAACTATCGGCGGTGCTTCACCTGTCAAAGAGTCACACGGTCGTGTCGAACACGACACTCGTCCAACAGTCACTGTCGAGTCGAACCCGACAGTGGGAACGGGATCAATCGCCGATACAAGTGGCAAGGCTTCGGGACGAATCGACGTTGTTTCACCTATCGAAGGGTCACACGGTCGAGTCGAACATGACAGGGGTCCACTATTGGAGCGCTCCCAGCTTGACCGAGCGGAGAAACTCGTGGTTGAGTCCAACCCGACACAGCAACGGCGATCGATTGCCGGTGTGGGTGCCAAAACTTCGGGACGAAAAGGCGGTGTGAGTTGCGAGGGCGTGAGTACAACTAACCAAGTTTGGGCGACTACAATACTAGTGGGCGACAGTGTCGCGATGAAAGTGGATATTACTCGTACACTCACGGAATTGCAGATGCTGTCGTCGACGATGCCAGCCGAAGTAAGCGGCACTTTTCAGGACACTTTTGAGGGCATAAAGGAGGAAGAAACTCTCCATGTACAGGGCATCGAAGAGGATGAAGGACATATAGTACTAAGTACACCGGAGCAAGTTGTACTTGTACAACCTCAACAAACGCTTGAACAACCTCAAACACCACAGTCTGCTAACCTCATGATAGCTATCGAGGAATCTCCTATTGCGCCATTGCATATGTAAGGTGTGACAGAAGGTCGTGTTGAAGAAAAACTGAGAGTTAGCCATCGAGGTGAGCACTTTCTTATCTTAGGAGCAATAACTAATACTATATGCGGATTAGTGGGTACATCACATGCACTCATCTCCCATTGTGTTGATCCCTCAGATGTATTGTTTATTTACCTAGCTTTGGAACTGTGCGTTTTCTGAAGAGAAATACTGCAATTGTATGATGACTTAGTGCAATTGCCATATATTTTGTAATGGTATTCATGAGTCAGTTTCAACAACGGAAAGTCGGACTTGTAACTCATTATGTTTTATTTTGTCAATCATGCAGGGCGACAAAAAGAACTGTGGAAAACGACACATGTACACTCGCAAAGGAAGAGAGAGAATAATATAATTCGTCGTGGCTTGCAAGCTTTGACAACTTTGTCGTTATTGCCAAAAAATGAGAGAAGAAGTCGTACACCCATGACATTTCCATCTGTGAAGCCAGCTGCCTTAAGGATGTTTAAAGCTGTTGGAATAAGCCTCACAGAAGGGAAGAAATTGCATCGCCCAGGTTGCAGTTTATCTGTTATGGATAGCAGCACTGATGACGAAACAGATAGACAACCAACAACATGAGATCATATCTATGTAGTCTATCACTTGTTTTTGTGTGAAGTCTTAGTCGCTCTATTGTTATTTATATGTGTGTTTGTATGCAGTGCATGACCCTTCGTTCCAGATTCCTTTAGCAACAGTACGCCTTACTGTAGAAGAAAAAGAGTATCTTGAAATAGTTACCGGCAGCACTGAAGAGAATGAAGAATACGGCATTGTCGATTACAAGGGGAGGTGGAAGGTGGAAAAGAAAGACGTCATGCTCGCCGCCAAAGATGGGGAATGGTTCAATGATGAAGTCGTCAATTTGTACATGTTAGCCGTTCAGATCACCAATGACTACATCAAGAAGGTGGATTCGACATGTGCAGAAGTGGCAAAAAATGAAAGTTTTTGTAGCATTCCATCTGTGCATATTCTAAATTTTTTTTTCTTTCCCAGATTGTCAAAAGCTCAGTCCGCTGAAATCGCATACTCCGAAGGGACGAGATGGGTGAAGGACATAAATCTTTTCAATTTTGATTTGGTAATTATCCCTCTCCATTTTGGAAATCATTGGGCCTTAGCTTATATCAGTATAGATCGCTCTGAGTGTAAATTCCGCCTCGTAGACTCTCTCCATCGTGTTGATTACGGTCCAGCCCTCGAACTTTTGGCAGGTTTTTTCAGAGCGGAGTTTCAGCGACAAAATCGTCGGGAAAAATATCATGTGGAGGAACCTACATCCTACTTTGATACATCAGTAGATGGGATTCCTGCTCAAGAGGATTCTTCTAGTTGTGGTGTTTTTATGTTAGGTTTTGCATCTTTGCTTGCAAAAGGTCACTTCCCTCCGTTCGGTTTCTCACAAGATAATATTCCTGATATGAGACTTAGAATATCATTTGACATTTTGTCCATGGTTAGATAGAAAAGTCAATGAGAATTCAAGTTCTACTTAGAATAACATTTGATATTTTGTTCATGGTTAGATAGGAAAGTTTATGAAAATTCAGGTTCTAGGTTTGGAAAAATGAGGTTGACATGTTTACTTAGTGTGAACATTCCGGGTGAAAATGTGTATTGTAGGCAATTTTGAAAATATGTTGACAATGTATAATGACATTTCTTAGACTTCTCATCAGTTTTTGATGAGGTTGGCGTGTTTACTGAGTGACATGTTTACAGAGTGGATTGCCAACAATGTATAATGACATTTCCTAGACTTCTCATCAGTTTTTGGTGAGGTTGGCGTGTTTTACTGAGTGACATGTTTACAGAGTGGATTGCCAATCCTTGAGTGACATGCTTGCGGCTTGTGTACGTGTGAACATTCGAGGTGAAAATTTGTATTTAATTTCCTTCAACAGCTTTCATGTATAATCATTGTTTTCTCGTTGTTTGCTTATTTTTCCCTCAGTTCTTTGTGTCATTTTACAATTAAAATAAAAAGTGAACATGAAAACAATTTCACTTTTAACGAAAACACCATTATAGACATCTCCGTTCATGTTCGTCGAGATAAGGCTATTTCCCTCATCTACCTTCCGAATTTGGCAAAACCTGAAGGTATGCCCTTTTAGTGCGCAATGATGGCAAATGGCATTTCTCCAATCGAACCTTGGCCTATCATTCCCGCCTTGCCCATTCCAATTGACTCCACGTCCGCCCCCTTGACCGCCTTGTCCACCATTACCGTTACCCCGTCCGCGACCTCCATTGCCTCGGCCCTTACTGCTCTGCCCGTTACCTCCCTGGTTCTGACCTTGTCCTTGACCCGCTGCTTGACTGGGTTGGTTGACTTGTGGCGGAGGTGTCGGCTGTTGCTGTTGCCCCCCCTCTTGCCAGTTCACTCCTTGAGTTGGCACACTGGGATACCCTCCTGCCGCATTCGCAGTCAGTCCTCCCGGAGGTGGCCTGACTTGGTTGTAAAAAGGCCATGGGCCATATGGACTATACCCCGACCAAACAGGAGGAATGGTCTCTGGTCTGGGTCCAAGCTGCGCTGGTCCTTGTGGTGGTGCCCCACTTGTACTCGCCTGATTTGCGTTTACTTCGGCCGGCGCAGCGGCCTGTACTCCTGCATTCTTTCCGGAACCTTGGCCACCTGCGGCCTGGTTCCGCGCCTTCCTCTGACTTTTCGTCAGCTTTACTGGTTCTTCCTCTTCATCGTCATCATCGTCTTCCACCTGCTCAACCACCTTCTTCGCAGCTTTTGCCTGAGGCTGAGTCACTGTCAAAACCCGATTCCCAACCGCTTTCTGTTGGTCGGCTTGATACTTGGCTATTCCATCCGCAATACGCTGTTGAAGGTTGATACCTGCTCCTTCAGTGACAACTAGAGCCTTTCGCTTCTGCCGTTGTTGTTTCATCTGAAATTGGTATACCTGGTCCAGCTCCCCATCGGCCAAGCTTTGCTTCACTGTCTCCCAAGTCAACTTCCTCCCTATGCCCCCTCTTCTGGTCAGGGAAACACTCTCGCATTTTGTGAAGTTGCTTAGGAAGATGGCACATTGGGACTCCTCGGCCAACCCTGGAACCTTCCTCGCCATCTTCTCGAACGTCGTCGCGAAGGCACCCACCGTCGTGAAATCAGACCTCTCTAACCTTTCCAAGTCCTCCGTCGTAAGGAGGCCATCTCCCAACTGGTACCGTGTTTGCATCTCACCCTTAAAGTTTCCCCAATTTCCTAAAGCCTCAGTGGCTACCCGCATAACTTCTGGCCGCATCTCCCACCAGACGTACTTATTAGAGATTTGACGAAATTTTTCTTCTTCCGTCATCTCGTCAGTAATTTGCTAGAGCAACTCAAGCCAGTCTGACACCTTATCTCCTTTGAAGTGGAAGATCGGAACCTTAGGGATGTTGGATCGCGTCACCGCGCGCCCATCCAGTAGAGCAACCAGTTGACCGAACGTAACCGACCGCTGGCCCGCGCCATCGGCCTGATTGAGTTCATCGCCCGCCATCTCGTTCTTCGACAATCAGTTCCCTGTCAATATACAACACTTATACATGGTCAACCTAATTGCTTTAACAAACCCTTATAACTAGTCCAACCTCAACCTTAATAGGTTGTGTCCTACTACTAAATTCAAACGTTCGACACTCATACACAATCATCCACACCTTCATACAATCACACTACGAATTCGTCCACTCCACACCAAGTCTTAATACTTAGTGTCCCTGATTATGACAGCGAGGCCCTACTTTGGGTCTGACAAGATTCAATAGGGACATTCCTGTAGGTCGTAACGGCAATATCAAAGTCAAAAACACACTATATCATTTCCCTAACCTCAAAAAAAGAAAAGTGTCGTTTTGCCTGGATCATCGTTCTGCACTAAACCCAAGTCCGTTCACTATGGACCTCGGTAGGCAGCCGAGATCCCCGGCAACGTCGCGCGCACGGTCCCCGCTGGGGGAACCTTCCCGGCCTCGTCACGCAGGATTGACAGTATTCGCAAGTCGCTTCACGAAAAGGGAAGCGGCGGAGCCGCTTTGGCCGAGTGCGCCATCTATACCTCCATCGAGTCCCTACGACAGGACAGGGTCTCGCGAGGTACAACTTACCTCCACCCGTGGGAGCTGTCACCATCCCTTGGGTGGGCGTATCCCCACCGAGCTACTGAACCACACGTGGAAGCTTTTACTTGCAATCGTAGAGATGGCCCAGCCGAGGGCGTTTCTCGTATGCTGTAGCATAGGGGGTACGCGCAGTCCATGCCTAGCTCGAACCCGTACGCGAACCGTCACGCTGGGGCGATGATCTCCCACGTGCGGTTCAACGTCGGTCGACTATGACATCCTAGCTCAACCACGCGATACATGACAAAACAAAATAATTCAGACAAACAAAATGCCTAGTCCTTTTTTCATACGTTTTGACCCATAACTCAGAACTGCCAATGTGTCTGAGCAAGTCCCGCACTGAGTTGCATAAAAATAATGCAACCGCCGAGGGAACCATAATGCTCAGTCATGTGTGCTCACTTAACCTGCTATCATGGCGACGCTTCATGCGTTACCCACATCCGCACAACCTCTCATCGGTTTCGGGGTTGCGTACGATACTCAAGTATCGAAAGCGAAATATCGTGAAGGGTTTCTCCTTCACGATATTGCACGGCTGAAGGATAAGTCGTTCGGCTCTTGCAGCGCCCCTGTCTTTTAGGCAGTGGGTGACGATAAGCAAGGGGCGCAGGTCCGGCTCAAGGGGGAAACCTTGTTGTGTTGGACCAGAGTCTGGGATGATCTGGACAAGGGCCTCGAATTCCAGGTTCAGGACCAACGCCCGACTAATAATCTAAAAAAAGCAAGACCCCATTTGAGATGGGGTATGCTCGTCCTTTCCCTGCGGAGGGAAAATACCAGTACTCACGGGTTGGCGAGCGATTCGCCATACCCAAGCTAAGTCTCAGTCCGATCTAAGGTCGAGCGCTAAACCTTGCGCTTGGCTACTCCTGCCTATTTGCTAGATGCATACGACAGGAGTAAAATAAGAGAAAGAAAAGGGCGAGTCTCAGGGGAAATCAGGGAGAGCCATTCTCACAGCCATAGTTGAACCTTGTCACTCACACCCWTCATTCATTCACCCATATCACCCTTCGTTCAGGAGCGAGCCGTTGCTCCCATACATACCTGCACACACATGAACTCCAATGAAATCCATACGCAGATGCCACAAAATGTGGTCAACCCCTTTCTCCCAGATTCATGTCCCACACACCCCTTTCCGACCCCATTCAACAGAGGCATATCCGCCCGTCCCGATTCGCACAGCTTTTGGATGGCCATTCAAGAGAGGTACCAAGGGTTGGTTTTCTTTCATATGGAAATGACTTTCGCCTACAAGGTCATAGACATCTGGACGTGGGTATCACAGTGGGCAGGAGTTGAGTCGCAAACCGACCTGCTATCAGGTGATAGCAGAAGTTGATGAAGCTCAAGACTTCGAAGAACACTCGCAAGTAGCAATGACCTGCGTCACAAAGATCAGGATGGGCATCGTCTGTTGAGTTAACGGAGTTCAACTCCGTAACGCACTCTAAGCTACTTAGTAGTAGCGTCCGGTAACGATGTGAAAACCCCGATAATTTCGGCAACACTTCCTTTAGAGAAGTGTGCTCACATAATTTTTACTATACCAAATCTAAAAGGAAAACTCGAGACTGATAAAATATCTGAAAATAAACTAACTCTTTGGTTTCAGTAAAAAATTCGGCAGCACTTCCTTTAGAATGAGAGACTCTCAGAATTCCTACTGGCTCCAAAGACTAAACTATATCCTATCCTGGCTGACATCTCTGAACTTTGACTAACTTTGAGTATTTAGCAGAAATTTTGGCAGCATCTCTCTTAAGGAAACGAGGCTCCCAGAACTTCTACTAACTAAGAGGTTAGCCAATGCCATACCAAAACAATCATGCATAAGAAGACAAATGCGAAAAACAAAGGTGAGCATTTGCCTGCCTATCGCTCAAGCATAAGGCGAGCACTAACAGACTACCCTATAATGCAAAAGACAGACAGAGCTTGAGCAAAAGACAAGGCATTGCCAATAAGCATGTTAGATCAACAATGCATTCAACTAAATTCAAAACAAGGGTTCGTTTATCCAAAGTTTTAATCTCTCGATTGTCTTGATCACAAAAATCATAAGTCCTGTATCTTACTTAGTTAATTAACTTTTCGAGTTGTTCTCAGTCAACCCCATGCAATCCCTAACACACTAGCCTCGACTATCCTCGCAAAGAGAATACTCAGACCTTTGTCAACAAGCAAAACCGACTGACTCATCAAGGCGACCGGATCAGTCTGGAGGACCTCATTTCCATCCCCAGTTCAATGTCTTAGGCAAAACAGCAAGGCGACTGGATCAGTCAGGAGGACCTCGTTTTCAGCCCCAGTTCAATGTCTTAGGCAAAACAGC